GGAGCAAGAAAGAGCTAGAACAGGGAATGATGCAGGAAGTTAATTTGGGAAGGAAGTCCTTACTTGTTCTGAAAAAGCCTTTTCTATGTCATTATATGCTGGGTTTAAGGATTAGCATTAGAGAGGAGAATCAACGTGTTGCTTGTAGGCTTTACAGGGCAGTTTTATTGATATATGCATTTGTTTTAAGTTTGTACATTGTCATATTTTTGCAGCCCTCAAAGCATACAAATCCCCAAAGAACTCATATGCAGGTTTCTCTGTCTTTATTCCACTATATCCTGATTAGTCCTTTGAAGTCAGTAGGTGTTGTGTATGTAAAAATGATAATACATTTTGGTTCCTACAACCCTAACCACACTGAATGTAGCACTGCTGGATTCTAAACATGCATGATAGTTCTGTCAGTCTTGATTTTACTTCCAGGACTTCCAAGCAATATGTTAAACCATTGCTCAAGGTAGAATTTATGTGCTCATTCTGGACTTATGCTAATTAATTTGGCTTCCATATAGCAACACAAAACATGCTTAAAATCAGCTTAAGTGACAAACTTGAGATTCCTCTAGGGAAAGGAAATCTTAAATGTTTTAAAGCTGCTAGAGCTGGCCTTATCTTACCTTGTCTCCCAGTTGTATTTTAGGGACAAAGGATTGTAGTCAATGCCTTGTGCTATCAGTTAGATTCAGTACAGTCAGTCTGAATTAGAAGAGTCCTGAGGCTCCGCAATACTTCAACAGACAGAGGAATTGGGAATACATTGGTGGCTGGAAGCCAGCTGTTTCCCCTAGGTACTATCTTGAACACAGATGGCCAGAACTGAGGACTGAGCTTCTGGGGGTTTGTGTGTTTGCTCTGAAATTTAAAAAAGTGCTTTATGATGCCAACAGGCAGGTTATAGATTGTGGGCCCACTAATTCCTCACTATATCATAACTGTAATTTCATTAGTATGGAGTATTATACATAGCATCCTAAACTGCTGTAGAAAATAGGGCAAGCCCTGCTGTTCTTCGTTTTAACTTTGTTGCAGTTGCTTGAAACTTCTTAAAGTTCTTGATATAATTAGTGGTATAAAGAGGTTTCCACAGTAGCCCTCTTTTGTACCCTATCACTGTGTAATGCACATCTTAATAAATATACTTAGTATTTTTTTTTCAGGCTCTAACAACTCTCATTTAGTCTTTTGGTTCAAGTTTTTCATAGCAGGTTCCTGTTTGAGGGGAATTTTTTTTTTCTGGAAGATCTTTGCAAGAGCTCTTTGGCTGTATTTGAGTTAAAAAGTGAAGGAATGAGTATTTGTATTGGCAAGAAAAAGCAAAGAAATGGTCCAGGTATGAAATTCAACACGATCTGCCTTATGTCCCATAATGCAAGCAACAGTTTGGACCCTACATTTTCTGACTCTTAAGTCTTATAGGCACAGGATAACTTGAAGGCTGGCCGATTTCTGGTTTTCTGTGGCTTAAGGGCTTCTGCATGGCCCTGTCATTCTTTTGTAAACTGTGGAAAGTTAAAAGGCCAGTTGATCTTCACATACCTCAGCTGGCAAACCTCCATTTCCCAGCAGCAATCTTCTTTGAAAGCAGCTGCCATTCCAAATTTTTGGCTGCATAATCAAGTCTCACAAATCAGATTCTAAAAAGTCCCATTAGCCTTCTATTCAACAAGGAGAAGTTAAATCTGAAACTTTATTGTGGAGTTCCACAAATGCCGAAAAAGAATGATCTGTTTCTGAGAAGGATATTTTCGCACCACCAGTCATTTTAATGATGCATAATCCTTTATGTTTTCTCAGATGAAACTTCACAAAAGGTGTATAGATATAGGTGAGACTGAGCATAAGTCCATTTTTGGCCATTAACAGTCCTGGGTCTCAAATCTCTTTTGGGTCATCTCTTTTTCGTACAAGTGTGTAGCTTAGAAAAGTATGAAGAATGGGCACTATGAGCCACCACGAGGAGATATGGTCCTTATACTAATGAAGTATGCTTCAGCATTTTCCTTCTAGCATATGCTCTTACTCACAGGTGAATGGGCACTTGACCCCATTAACATAAAGCCAGTACTCTCAAATGATATGTTTCCTAGGCTTGTTATGGCCTGAATTCTTAACAGAATAATCTACATTCTATTTGACTTGTCATGTGACATATATACTGCTTATTTGGTACCTTTTATCTCAGGAGAACACGCACTGACCTGGGGTCCAGGATTTCTGATTTCAGTAGTCAGGAGCTCCTGACATTTCTGTGCATTTTGAGGACCTTCTGGTTGATACAGGCTGATATCTGAACCAATCAAATATTTATTCCCTGCTGCCTAAATTTCTCTGAGAAGTTTCACTCATGTCTTATCAGAAAGCTACACGATCACTCATAATCCAACTGCCAGAGGTATATTTTGGCTGTCTTGCTCTAATTGCTCTCTGAGACACTTCTGAATGAAGTATGGATATATCCAGGGTTCCTAGCCCACTCTAGGCCTGTCTAGCTCGCACAATCCACAAAGTGTTAAACTCTCCTTAATGGCTACCCCACAAAAAGGTGCATCTCTGAGTGGTGTCTGCCCACAGCCGGGCACCTGAGCAACATCCCCTTCACGCCTACAGGCACTGCATTCCTTGGAATCAAAAGCATGGGTAACTGCAGAGGGCTGTCCCAGGGCAGGTAGGTTGCTTGGTCAAGGGTAGGTTCATGAGCACCGACAAAGGTTTTCACAAGTTGCATCCCAGGAGACCATTCCAAAGGTCTTGTCTTTTCAAACACAGCCTATTTTTTCCTAGCCATCTGCTTACCAAGGAAGTATCCCTACTGCCTACCTTTTATGGAGGCCTAGCCTGTCCTCTAGCGGTTGGGTCATTAAACATCATATGGATGGGAGAGGACTTGACGGAGGTGGCTTGAGTGAACCCTAAACAGTGGTGGTGGCACCGTGGTTTTGCTGACTGAGCTATGCTGTTGCTATGTACAAAACTGCTGGTACCGGTTTGTGTAATGCTGTTTGTGTCAGTGAAACAGCCTGTGAGAAAAGATAAACGCCTTCAGCTAGGAGTCATTTCTGGGTTCCTTCTCAGGCCTGATACCAGTTAAGAGGAAGGAGCATCTACTGTAGTTTAAACTGGGTTGACGGGAAAAAGGGCAGTAAGGGCTGCCTTGTGTGATTGCTCTGGAAGGACACCTGTAATTATGTGGAAAAATGTGATGAATGTCTTATAACGGAAGTACAAAATTAGTGAACTTTATTGATTCATCTGTAATGTACGTACTATGTTATAAATCATTAATTCGAGAATTTAGAATTTCTTACACTTGAAGCTCTTGTTCTGTTGGTTCCCAAACACTCACATATTGAGGAATGAACAGCATTGATTTCCCTCAAGTAGATTGATTGCTTAGGTGCAAGAATTTCTTATTTTTTTCCCCATGGACTATAGCAAAGGAAGAGCTGCAGCTTTGATCTCACTGACTGGCAGCCTCTTCTACTCCTCTGGCATGCACTTTAATTTTTTTAAGGCAAAATGAAAAAATTGGCTTTTGTGGCATTCTCCTCTGCTATGCCAATTCTTAGCTGTATTCTTTCAGCAAAAGGGATTTTTAGATATATTTCCTTAGATTTTTCACATACTGTTCAGTATCCTGATGTTAACATTTATTTCTGTTAAAGTGCTGAAGAAGCTGTGGCAGCAATGAGGCTGCTAAAAGGTAGATATGAAATGTGAAGTAGCACATGAATGTAAGAAAATTACACTTGGTACAGCGAAAGAGATTAGGACAGAGGGCAGAGAAGATAGCCCATGGAGAACCGTAAAAGGCACTGGCAGATTATCAGCATCTGAATTAATCATTTTTGTCCACGCTGTAAAGCAGAGAGGAGTTATAAGCCTGAAGGCAGGCACAGTTTGATTTTTACTTTGCTATCATCTACATGTAACCCCAAACATCCTTCTGAGATCTGTGTAGCTTCCTACCCTTCTCCCACACTACTCAAGGCAGGTTGTGCTGACTATAAGCTGAAGCTTACGGTTATACACATATTACTTGGGAAAATATAACCTAAAACCTGAAATATTTTGTAGAAAATATTTCACATAGAACTTTGCAAAACAGGGAGACCTGCTGCTCTGCATTCCTTCCTCTGCTCACCACTTTTTAAAATCATGTCTGCATTAGCATCCCTAAAAAACCTGCATCTTGCAGGCCATGCTGTCACAACGGCAGGGCGTGTATGGTTTTCATTGTATAGTAGACTCACGTTTCTCATGCTGTGTGCTGGGTTCCTTCCAATTGTTAAATCCTATTCACAGGCTGTACTGCCCAGCTCGTTTTTCACCTACAATAAACCAGAGCCTTTAGGACAGAGTTTCACGGGCGATGACAGGATGGACAGCAGGCTGGCAGAAGGCTTCAGAAAAATTCCTGAAATGTGGACTGCACCTTCCTTCTGCTCAGCTACTGCGGGTTTACGGCCGGGGGGACAGACACACAGCGCTCTGGAGAGCTGCTAAAATACTCCCGAGCTGCTTATTATAATTAAAAAGCTGGTATTCCCCCCCACCCCGAACCCAGCCACGGACATCTCTGGTGAAGCAAGGGCAGGGACCAGTAAGCCGGGCTCAAGTGTGCGTACTGAGGAGCTCACGAAAACCGGAGGACGACACCACCTTCCAGGAGGGAGGCAGCTCCTTCCCGCCCCCTCCCCGGGCCGCTACCCGCCGGCTGCGGGGCGGCAGGGCCGGGC